GAAAAAAGCGGTGTGAGGAAAATTGGTCCATTTTTAAAACTGCAAGAAATCGGTGTAACCAGATGATACGCAACGCAAAACGCCGATATATTCTTAACAACATCATATCCTCTTCCCCCGCAGATATCTGGAAGTTTCTGGGAACCATGGGTATTGGTAAGAAGTCCCATTCTGAGTTTCGGAGGACAATTGGTTTGGATGATATCAATCAACACTTCTCTTCACATACACCTCTGGATCACAAACCAAGTGTCAAACTGTTAATCAGATAATGGGTTTACCTCGTCCTAATATCGCTCCTTTCTGCTTCTCTCCAATAGCTACGAATGAGATCAGGAAGGTTATACTCTCCATTAAGTCTAATGCTATTGGTTGTGACAATATCAGTCGCCGTATGATTATTAATATTATAGATCATCTCCTCCCTGCTATTTCCCATATAATTAACTTCTCTCTGGATTCTGGAGTTTTTCCGTCGCTGTGGCGTAAAGCTTACATTATACCTCTCCCAAAAATTTCTAATCCTTCTTTACCTAATCACTTCCGACCTATATCCATTCTTCCCTTTTTTATCAAAGGTGCTAGAGGCTTGTGTACACAAACAGCTATCACATTTTATCTTCTCGAATAACCTGTTAAGCTCATTACAGTCTGGTTTCAGGCCGGGTCATAGCACTGTTTCCGCGCTCCTCAAAGTCACTGGTGACATTAGGGCAGGCATGGAGGAAACTAAAGTCACAGTACTGGTTTTGGTTGACTTCTCTAACGCCTTTAATGCCATCAGTCACGACATCCTATTATCAATCCTTTCACTTTCTATGATCTCATCTGAGGCTTTGGAGTGGTTCTCATCTTATATTCGAGGCCGCCAGCAGTCAGTTCGCATTGACGAGTCCTCATCAAGTTGGTGTGACTTGCATGCTGGTGTTCCTCAAGGCGGTATTCTATCTCCATTGTTATTTTCAATATTTATAAATCTCATTACCCCAAATCTTCAGTGTGCGTATCATTTGTATGCTGATGACTTGCAGTTGTACTCACACGCGAAGGTCGACTGTATATCTACAGCAATTGAGTCTCTTAATAGGGACCTAGAGTATATAAAGAACTGGTCTGATAAGTTTGGTCTTAAAGTTAACCCATCCAAATGTCAGGCTATAATAATAGGTAGCCAACGGATGATAAAGAAACTGGATCCCACAGCTTTACCACCGATCATTTTTAGCGGTTTTATTTTAGAACTGAGTAATTCCGTGAAAGACCTTGGATTGCACATTGACTCCACCTTGAGCTGGCAAACTCAAGTGTCAAATGTTTGTCAGAAAGTGACAGGTATTTTGCGTTCTCTCTACCGCCTGAAGAACTTTCTCCCGTCCAGGACCAAGACGATTATTGTGCAGACCTTAATTTTTCCCATTTTTGACTATGGTGATGTGTGTTATTTTGACCTGAATGCAGAACTCTTGAACAAATATGACCGTCTTCTTAATAACTGCATTCGATTCATTTTTAATCTTCGAAAGTATGATCATGTGTCTACTTATCGCTCTCAACTCAACTGGTTACCCATTCGTCAGCGCCGTAGTCTACGTGCACTCACTACTCTTTACTCTATCTTGATGTCTCCTAATCCTCCATCTTATTTAACTCCTCATTTTCAATATCTTAGCTCCAATCATGATAGAGTTCTCCGTTCTAGTAATAACCTTTTGCTTCAGTGCCCCCCTTTTAGTACTAACTTTGTTCAATCATCGTTCTTTGTTCAATCTGTTCTTCTTTGGAACGCTCTGCCTTCCGAAATCAGGAGTGCCGAAAACCGGATTACGTTCAAGTCTAAAGTGCGAGAAATGCTCGTCAATAAAATGGCAGAATCAACTTAGCGTTCGTAGTTAGCAGTATTTAATATTTATTTAATATATATGTGTGTGTGTATGTATGTATATATATGTATATATATAGATATGTTTAATTTTATGTATATATACTTACATAATGTTTATATATATTTATACGCTTATATATGTATGAGTTTATATATGTGTATATATGTATATGTATATATGTATATATGTATTGTACATACTTCTTATTACACCTACCTCTTTTATCTCTGCACTACTCTAAGGTAGACTGGTAGATAATGCCTCAGGCATTAAGTCCGCCTATATACATCTAATGTGTATATGAAGTTAAATAAATATTAAATATTAAAATAAGCACTGCTTTATAGTTAGTTCAGTTAGTATGCAAAGTTTCATGATCTTATTTAAAGTATTTATGAATAACAGCGGTTTATTGTTTATTTTGGAGGTAACTTTGGATTTTTTTTTCTATCGAGAAAATTTTACGAAATCGTGTTTACGTCTAACATAATCACTAACATTAATCCTCAACTTTACCATATATTTATTTCAAAATTAATGCTGCAATATTTTCGGCATAACGAAGGATCTTGCTAAGCCATTTGAGGTTATATTTCCCCTTAACTGACGTATACATAGTTTAATTGATTCCGCTAGATGTCGTTACTAGGTTTTTAATTACCGCGTTTTAAAAACCTAATGTTTCCTGACATGTACTTAAACTCTCGCCGTTGAGCCGAGCATCAACTTATAGTGCATACGGTACCTACACGCTTAAATTGTTTCTATTTCGTAGCTTATTCGACTACCTGATTCGATTTCGGTTGTTTGTTATTTGCTTTGTGATTTGGTTATGGTTGAATGGATTTATATTGGCTTTCATTTTCGGATTTGTGTATTTTCTTGGATCGGTTTTGTTGATTTGGTTGGTATTCCTTTATACATATTTAGACTCTGGCTTTGATTTTGGATTTTGTTTATTTAGAATCGTGAATTGGTTTTCGTTGTTTTAGGTTGTTTAACAATATTTCAAAGGAATGTTAATAGTATAGATAGTGTATACGGTACCTATACACTTACTTCTTTTTTCGTTGGTTATATTTATATTGACTACTGCTTTCGATTTCGGTTTTCTTCGATTTGTTTTGTGATTTGGTTTAAGTTGATTCGATTTTTTTTGGCTATCGTTTTCGGATTCGTGTTGTCTTGAATTGGTTCTGTTGTTTTGATTTTAAAAAATATTTAAAAGGAATATTTATTCCTTTTAGATATTTTGGATTTGCTTTTAAAAAATATTTAAAAGGAAATTTAATTCCTTTTAGGTATTTTAACGTTTTTTTATAAATAGGTTTTTTGTTACTTCATAATGCCTCGCAAACGTAAGTCCAGCCTTTCAAGAGTATCTTCTCAAAGACAAGCGAAAAGATTAGCTCGATCGCTAGAATCTTTAGAAGATACTGAACTGAGAAGGCAGGAACAAGCAGAGCGTCAGGCTGCTTTTAGAGCATCTGAGACACCTTCTCAATATCAGCTAAGGCGTCTTGAACAGGCAGAGCGTCAAGGTACTTTAAGAGCTACTGAAACACCTGTTCAAAGTCAGCAAAGGCGTCTTGAACAGGCAGAGCGTCAAGCTACTTTAAGAGCTACTGAAACACCTGATCAAAATCAGCAAAGGCGTCTTGAACAGGCAGAGCGTCAATCTACTTTAGGAGCTACTGAAACACCTGCTCAAAGTCAGCAAAGACTATTCGAACAAGCGGAACGTCAGGCCGCCTTAAGAGCCGCGGAAACACCTGATGAAACTCAACACAGACTCACTGAGCAAGCTGAACGTCAATCTACTATAAGGGCATCTGAAACACCAGAACAGACACAGGCGCGAAGAGATCAAATGCACAGCTCCAAGCTGAACGTCGACAAAATTTTCAAAGAAAGAATTGGTCGGTTTTAATGACGCAGCATTCTATTATGATCCATTGATTTATTATAAAAATCACAGGTTAGTTGTTATCTAACTGGGCGTGTCGATTTTGCAGCGCTTTAAAATGGAAAGATGAGACCGCAGGCACGTGCTGTTCCAATGACAAAGTGTCTCTTCCGTTACTTGGAGATCCTTTGAAAACTCCCTTTTTATATGATGCTAATGAGTCACGGCGCTTTTTAAACAGGATCCGGAAATATAACTCATGCTTTCAAATGACGTCCTTCGGAGTTGACCGGGAAATAATAATGCCGGGATTTTCGCCTACATTTACGGTGCAAGGGCAAATTTATCATAGAATAGGTTCACTTTTTCCAGCTGAACGAACAACGTAAATTTTTACAAGTATATTTTATGGGTGACGAAGAAATTGAGGTAGACCGTCGCTGCCAAATTATCCAGGGAGTTGAGAGAGACACAGTGTTCAAAATTCAAAGATTCTTGCATGAACGTAACATTTTAGTAAAAACATTTAAAACTGCTTTAGAAAACCTAACTGAAGAGGATTATAAAGTAGTCATTCATTTGGGTGTTTTTTCATTCACGTGGGTTATCATTTTCAAATTCCACTTATTAACCCGGTCACAAAGGACCCTACTCCGAACATAAAAGTATCATGTATGGATTTTTATGCGTATCATATGCTGTTGCGAGAAAATGATTTTAACCTCTTAGCCCGGTGTAGATAATTATTTCATCAATTTTTGGTAGACATGTATGTGAAGGTAGAAAGTGAACGTCTCCGTTATATATCTGTTACGAGCTTGAGGTTCGTGACAATAAAAATTGCCGATAGAATTACCAAAATTAACTCTTTAATTCACTACACTAATTAACACTTAGAAGACACTAATAATTAATCACACTGATTCACTTTATTTCGCTCCGAAGCTTCGCTTGTCTCGCCAAATTCAATACTTCCTCGATCGCATCTTGCAGCGCCTTTAAATACACATTATCACCGAAACATCCAGAATATTCAAGTAAATACGCGCGCCAATCGACTAGGCGCCGAAAGTTCGAGTGTCGGGCTTCTAGAAAGCTTAGTTCTTCATTTTGATACTAGATGGCGCTGTCGATTGAAAGATTAGTGATGTCATTTTCTGGAAAGCTCTCCTCGCTCCGTTACCCGACATAGATGGCGCTAGTGCCAGACGTCAACTTAGGCGCGCAACACTGCCCCCTCCTAAGACATGCTCGTCCCGAGCATTATCGGCCGCATAATAACGCGCCAGGCATCCCACATGGACGATCTTAGGAGTCCCTCTTGCGCCTTTCTGTATTCGGTAGCTTACATCGTTGATCCTGGTTACAATCCGGTACGGGCCGTCCCATTTAGCTTGAAGCTTAGGAGATTTCCCTTTGCTGCGGACTGGATTGTGCAACAACACTAGTGAACCTTCGTCGAACCCTTTGTTGTTCATTTTGCGGTCATACCGGGTTTTCATCTTTTCAGACATTTGCTGGCCCGATTGTCTGACGTGCTCATAAATGTCATTCATTTTGTTCCGCAAGTCACTTGCATAATCTGTTATACTGCGTGGGGCATCAGGTGGTATCCCGGTGATCAGGTCTGCAGGCAGCCGTAATTCTCTTTCACTTACTTACTTACTTACTTATCTTCACGCACAATCCCTAACGGGGTAGCCAGAGAGAACAGATTGCCAAGTGTCACGATCCTTACATATCTCTTTCGCTTCTTTCAGGTTCATGAACTTCTTCATACATGCACGTCTAGGTATCCGAGTACTCTTGACCCTCCCCTCTTCGAGCAATTTGCTCACATGGTCTTCGAAAGTTAGTCTCGGTCTACCTCGACACCTTTTAATATTTACTTTCGCACTATATATTTTCTTCACCATTCGGTCTTCACTCATTCGTTCAACGTGCCCAAACTATTGGAGTACGCCCCTATCAATTTTTGTGATAAGGTCATCTTTCAATCCTGCCATATTGCGAATCTCTTCGTTTCGCTTTCGGTCGGCTATGGTAACGCCACACATTTTACGAAGAGATCGCATCTCCACTGCATTCAACTTGCTTTTATGCTTCTTCAGGCATACCCAGGTTTCTCTGCCATATAACAAAGTCGGTACTAACACTGCGTTATGTATTGCAAGGCACTGCACTCTTCACCACGCCTTGCCTTTTGACTAATGCATTCAGGGCACCATTGACTTTGTTTCCGGCAGCGACACGCCTATCCACATCTAAATCACATCTTCCATCCCGGCTGAAAGAACTCCCCAAGTATACAATTTCATTTACCTGTTCTAGACATTCCTGATTTACCCATATTTCACATTTCGTTCTCTCTTCGTCCTTTTCAAATACCAGAACCTTAGTTTTATTAGCATTCAAACGGAGCCCTTAAATTTCACATTCCTCTTTCATACACATGACTAATGCCTGCAGTTTTGCTTCTGATGGTGCAATAAGCACTGCATCATCAGCATACAGCAGACAATTAACTTTAATGTCACCCAATTTCACACCCAAACAGCTATTTTTCAGCTTCTGTAAACAGCTGTCGAGATACAGTATGAACAGCCAGGAAGACATGACACAACTCTGTTTTACGCCTGCTTGGACGCTAAACATGGGTGACAGGTCATGCCCTACCCTCACACAGGCTTTACAGTCATAGTAAAGTGACTGCACAGCCCTTAACAATCGACCATCCACACCATATCCCGGCAACAAAACTAGAAAAACTTGCCAAGTTGGTAGTGGTGGATCGTCTTTCCAAAAAACCATGTTGCTGCTCGGGGATGGAGCGTGAAATCGTAGTAAATCGTGGAGCGTGAAATTACGTTATATACTACTCGTTCAAGGATTTTAGCTACTGTGTTTAAAATAGAAATACCTCTATGATTTTTTATATCAGTTCGTGAACCCGTCTTGTGTACCGGGACTATATGTGCACACTTCCATTTATGCGGAAAGATTCCTTCACGTAGAGAGCGGTTAAATATAAGACTCAAGGGGAGAGCAAGTGATTTAGCACATCCAACATGACCAAAATAAAGAAGGTAACCCATCACTACCGGCACCTTTGTTCGTGTCCAAAGTTTTCAACATTTTTTCGACTATTGTAGTGTTTGTCTGTATATTAGAAACTATGTCAGTACACATTGATTCCGTATGTGGAGATGTGTAATTATTACTAGGTACACCAAAAGCACTCTGGAAGAATGAGTTGAAAGCATTACATATGCGACCTTCGGTGTACTCTACACCTTCCAAAGACATTTTCTTGGGATATGCTGACCCACCCCGCATGGCCCTGACGAAAGTCCAAAACGTTTTCGGGTGTTTTTTGATGCTGCTTTCACAACTCGATTTAAACTTATTGTAACATTCTCTCTGAACACGGCGTTCTCTTGCTCGGAGTAATGAAAACTCATCGTAATCTAACCTATTCCTGAATTTTTTCCAACGTGTGTGAGCTTTTGTTTTCTCCTTAATTATTTTTATTAAAGCTGACGTGTACCATTTAGGATAAGACCGCCTCGCTGTGTTATTACCAAAAGGCACATATAAACGAACACAACTATCCAGTAGGTTATAAAAGGTGTCTGTAGCCTCGTCTATAGTACCTGTACACAAAAGAGAACGCCAGTCCTGTTCCAAAAGATACATGTTAATGCTATCATAATCAGCCCTCCTGAAATTTCGCCTGGGTGCAGCTGTTTCACGTAGAGGAGTAATACTTAATTCCAAAACTATTAAACAGAAAGAAGGATGTGCGCGATCCTCTTTAAGAAGCGGTGCACATGCGGGGATGATATTTAAAGGCAAATTAGAAAATACAAGATCCAACGTGTTACCAGCATGATTTTTTAAAGTATTAAATTGTCTTAACCCGTGAAATGTAAATACTTCCATCAGCTGGGTACTCGCTTCTTGTACCTCGGTAGACCCATTTTTTAAAGTTGTGTATCCGTTTGGGTTCCAAGTAATGAACGGCAAATTAAAATCTCCTAATACTACAAAATTATCATTTGGACAAAGCTCAATAATACTGTTAATTTTTTGTCTAATAATAATGAGATCTGATGGCATTTGACGAGCATCAGGTGCAATATATGTCACGCAAATATGTAAGTTGGTGCTTGAAGCACACGCAACCAAAGGAATAGTTATCCACAACACAGATCTGTAGGACTGCATATACCGAGATCACGATGCATGGCGTCGAGTGTGCGTCGCGTTAGTATTAAAACTCCACCACCGGTGTTTTTATTACTTATACACAAATTTCTGTCAGCCTTGAATACCTCATATCTATCGCCACATAGCTCATCGTCAAAAATACCACTGTGTAGCCATGATTCCGTCAAAATTATTATGTCATAATCGTTCGTCAAAATGCTTAGTCGAAGTTCAAGACATTTAGTCCTAAGACCACAAACATTCTGGTAATAACAGCTTAAATTATTTGCAGTCACTAATCACAAGAAATATATATCCAATTGTGCACAATTTATAGTAAATTAAAGCTACACAGTGTAAAATAAATAATAATTTGTTAACGTATTTATTTCCACCTATTTCCAGAAATGAAATAATGTTACGCCGCATAACCGTATTACAAATACAATCACATACACCTTTACACTTCGTACATTCGCAACACATAATAATAAAATATTTGTTTAATTTACCTAAAATAATGTTGCGCGGCTAAGTTGACATCTGGCAATAGCGTCATCTAGTGTCGGGTAACAGAGCGAAGAGAGAGGTTTCCAGAAAATGACATCACTAATCTTTCAACCGACAGCGCCATCTAGTATCGAATTGAAGAACTAAGCTTTCTGGAAGCCCCAAACTCGTACTTTCTGCGCTTGGTCGGTTGGCGCGCGTATTTACTCGAATATTCTGGAATATTCTAGATGTTTTCGTGGAAGAGCCCTATATAAAGGCGCTGCAATATGCGATCGGGGAAGTATTGAATTTGGCGAGACAAGCGAAGCTTCGGAGCGGAATAAAGCGAATCAGTGTGATTAATTGTTAGTGTTTTAAGTACCATAGATAGTCCTAGAACCAGAGATAATCTTCGTTTTGGAATAACGTTTTATTTAGTTATGGTTTAAACCTGGTACTAACTCCAGTACCATATTTAGTCCGCGTTTTGGAATAAGGCGGATTAAGTTTTAATTGGTGTAAATAAAATTAAAGTGTTAATTTAGGTAATTCTATCGGCAATTTTTATTGTCACGAACCTCAAGCTCGTAACAATTGGTGTCAGAAGTGGGATTAAATCATGCCGATTTTACCTAAGGAGGAAACGGAGGGTGTTCGTACCCGAAGTCAACGCCAGCAGGAGACGAACCAAAGAAGATTTGGTGGTGCAACGCCGCAGACGTCGGAGGGCCAGCCACCGGCTGAAGGCCCGTCGGTAGCTCCTACATCTGCAGCACCTGACTTAGGTGCTCTGATGGTGATGCTGCAGGAGCAGGCTCGCCGACAGGAGGAACAGGCCCGTCGGTTGGAAGATCAGCAGGCGGAACAGGCTCGTCGGTCGGAAGAGCAGATGCTCCTCATGAAGGACCTTCATGCTACCTTTGGGAAAGAGATAAGGGAGGTGAAGGATAGGGTTGCTCAACATGACAACCACCTGTCGGAAGCTGAAACCCAAATCAAGGAAGCTAAAACCCAAATCGACCAAGTGAACAATCGGGTTGATTACGTGGTGGCTGACGTGAAGAAAACGCTGGACGACCTCAAACTGGGTGATGGAACTACAGCTCCCGTAGTAGCTACTACACCTTCGCTACGTGGGTTCAAAGTGCCACCGTTCGATGGGACTTCTTCCTGGTCAGCCTACAAAATCCAGTTCGAGGCTGTTATGAAGGCGAACGGCTGGAATAAAAATCAGGCCATGACTGCTCTCACACTAGGCCGGTGCGACCAGGCCTTAACAGTTCTGGAAGCTCTCGGTGAGGAAGTGACTTATGAGCAACTCCTTGAGGTATTGGAGGCGAGATATGGCGACGCTCACCTGGAACACGTCTTTCATGCGCAGCTTAAAAATCGCATGCAGCGCATCAACGAAAACCTGCAGCAGTGGGCTCTAGAGGTGGAGAAGCTGGTGTGGAAGCCGGTCTGTACCTGCGCTCATTGAAGGGAACCTGGTGCAGACATTAATCGACGGCATCCGCGTACCTGGAAGTCAGAGCTGCTGTGAGGCTCGGGCACCACGAGACGCTTACGGACGACTTGTCCCATGCACTTGAGGTGGAAGCCGTGCGGCAGGATCATCGTTCCCATCGCGTCAGGAAGGTTGCAGCAGCTACAGTTCGCGACCGCAACAGAGGATATAGCCCTAGGTGCTATGGCTGTAGGGAAAAGGGCCATCTTCGATCGAGCTGCCCTAAGCGAACCCCAGCAAGGGAAGTTGAATAATCTCAGGAGGGTAGTGCGCCCAACAGCACCGCCCAGCAGCAGCAGGGAAACGAGTAAAAGCCAGAACTGCGGGCGGGTGCTGGCTGATGTTAAAAGAGCCCCAAGGATCTCGATCTCACAAACCCATGATGGGAACAGTCTAATCATCAAGGGTGAGGTCAACGGAATGTCGTGTAAACTGACCATAGACACTGGAGCCTCTCGTACGGTTGTTAGTTCCCAACTTATAAGTCAGTTCCTTGGGGACTCCGCATACAACCGAGAACGCATTAATTTGGTAACAGCCACCGGTCAGCGTATACCCGTTCGTGGAGAGAAGGAGATGGAGTTGAAGCTTGGCAACGTGATCTACCTGCAACATATCATCGTGGCTGATATAATGGACGACTGCATCCTAGGCCTAGACTTTATGAGGAGTAATTGTTGTGAGATCGACGTTAAGCAAGGTGTTTTGAAATGTGGACAGGAGGAACTTTTTATGGAAGGTGCGTTACCAGGGAACGTGTACAGCATTGAGAAGATTGTTCCTCCGCCGAGATTGGAAATGATTGTTCCGGTTAGTCTTCCTCGAAACGCTGGGCAAGCTCACTGTTGTGTACTTGTGGAAAGGGTAAACAATGACCTTCCATGGAAAGTGGCTCGAACCTTGGTCAGAACCACTGACATCTCAGGAGTACGTGTGCTGAACCTTTGTGACCGGGAACAGATTATAGAAAAAGGCACGCTGGTTGGTACTTCTGAGGAAGTGGATTGGTTACGTCGGTGCCAATATCTATCGAGTGAGACCCCCAGCAAGGATGCACAAACGAGAGTGACCACACTTTTGGAAGACTGTCGCAGCGTTCTCTCCCCCGACCGAAATGGTCTAGGCGAAGAAGTTGTTACTCAAGTATGCCGATGTATTCTCATCAAACGATGCTGACATAGGAAAGGCTTAGTTCAACACAAAATAAACACAGGAGAAGAATTGCCTATCCGTCAGCAACCAAGAAGATTGCCGGTAGCACGTGAAAAGGAAGTGGAAACCATGATTGAAGGAATGGTGAAGGATGGTGTTATTGAACCTTCCTCTAGTCCATGGTGTTCACCAGTGGGGCTGGTAAAGAAGAAGGATGGCAGCATGCGGTTTTGTGTTGACTACCGCCGTCTGAACGACGTTACGAAGAAGGACAGCTATCCCTTGCCAAGAATTGATGACACGCTGGACATGCTTACAGGAATAAAGTGGTTTAGCATGCTGGATCTAAAAAGTGGCTACTGGCAAGTTGAAATTGACCCTAAGGACAAGGAGAAAACTGCGTTCTCGACGGGAAAGGATCTGTCGCAATTTAAAGTAATGCCGTTTGGGTTGTGCAATGCTCCAGCAACGTTTGAAAGGGTGATGGAACTTGTACTTACCGGGCTAAATGGCGATGCCTGTCTGGTCTACTTGGATGACATCATCGTCGTAGGTCGTACGTTTGAGGAACACCTTCAAAACCTGGAACGCGTGCTCATGAAGATTCAGAGTGCCAACCTCAAGTTGAGTCCGAAGAAACGTTCACTATTTAAACGGCAAGTTAACTTTTTGGGGTATGTAGTATCGGAAGAGGGCATCCGCCGGATCCAGAGAAAATCGCCGCTGTCAAGGATTGGCCGGTTCCAAAAGACAAGACGCAGGTTAGAGCATTTTTGGGTTTGTGCTCCTATTACGGGCGGTTTGTGAAGAACTTTGCAGATATAGCCAAATCTCTGCATAAGCTAACCGAGGAGAAGCGACTTTTCCGCTGGGATGAAAGTTGCAATATCGCATTCCAGGAGCTCAAGGACCGTCTGTGCAAAACACCTATTTTGGGATACCCTGATGCAAGCAAAAAATTTATAGTTGACACAGAAGCAAGTGATATAGAACTTGGCGGTGTGTTGTCTCAACGGAATGGTGACCAAGAGGTCGTGATAACGTACTTCAGCAAGTCGTTGTCAAAACCGGAAAGGAACTATTGTGTCACAAGACGCGAATTGCTAGCTGTGGTAAAGTCGTTGCAACATTTTAGCAAATATCTTCTGGGACAAAAATTTCACTTACGAACTGACCATGCTGCAGTAAAATGGCTATTGCAGTTTAAAAACCCAGAAGGACAAGTTGCCAGGTGGATTGAACTACTGCAGGAATACGACTTTGAGATCGAACATCGCAGCGGGAAATCTCATGGCAACGCAGATGCATTGTAAAGAAGACCTTGTCCTGAAGATTGCAAACATTGTACTAGTCAAGAGAGTAAAGAAGTGGTATCCGTGAGGATGCTCAGGGCAGACCACCTCAGCAACGAGTGGAAGGACAGCTTACTACATGCACAGCAGGAAGATCCGGACATCAAGCCGATTCTGGAATGGATAAAGGTCAGTGCTCCCAAGCCCAAGTGGAGTGACGTCTCAGCGATGAGTTCGACCACTAAAAGCTATTGGGCCCAGTAGGACAGCTTGCTGCTTCAGGATGGAGTTCTGTGTCGTAAATGGGAAAATGTACGGGGAGACAGCTGTCATTTTCAAATGGTTATCCTTAAAGCTAAAGAACCGGATGTTCTACAGCTGTACCATAATGATTGTTCAGGAGGCCATCTGGGAGTTAAACGAACTCTACTGAAGATCCGAGAACGGTTTTACTGGGTCCACTGTCGAAACGATGTCGAGGACTGGTGTCGCAAATGTACAAGTTGTGCGGCTGTATAGGGACCTCAGACTCGTAGTAGAGGTGCATTGAAGTTGTACAATGTTGGTGCACCATGGGAGAGAATAGCCATTGACGTGGCGGCACCGTTTCGGAGAGTGAATGCGGTAACAAGTATTTCATGGTTGTGATGGATTACTTCACTAAGTGGCCAGAAGTCTTCGCCATTCCAAATCAAGAAGCTTCAACAGTTGCAGATAAGCTAGTTCATGAAGTCTTCTGTCGTTTTAGAGTACCTTTAGAGATTTACAGCGATCAAGGAAGAAATTTTGAGTCTCAAATATTCCAGGAAACTTGCCGAGTTATGGGTACTCACAAAACAAGAAAGACTTCTTATCACCCGCAGTCTGGTGGAATGGTAGAACGATTTAATCAGACATTGGAGAGGTACCGGTAGTTGTAGACCATCGGCAACGAGATTGGGACAAGCACATACAACCGTTTTTGTTGTCATATCGAAGCGCTGTTCAAGAAAGTACAGCAGTGACACCAGCTTTCGCAAACTTTGAAAGAGAATTACGACTACCTGCAGACCTGATCACCTGGATACCACCTGATACCCCACGCAGTATAACCGATTATGCAAATGACTTGCGCAACAAAATGAATGACATTTATGAGCACGTCAGACAATCGGGCCATCAAATGTCTGAGAAGATGAAATCCGGTACGACCGCAAAATGAACAATAAAGGCTTCGACGAAGGTTCACTAGTGTGGTTGCACAATCCAGTCCGCAGCAAAGGGAAATCTACTAAGCTTCAAGCTAAATGGGACGGCCCGTACCGGATTGTAACCAGGATCAACGATGTAACCTACCGGATACAGAAAGGCGCAAGAGGGACTCCTAAGATCATCCATGTGGATCGCCTGGCGCGTTATTATGGGGCCGATAATGCTCGGGACGAGCATGTCTTAGGAGGGGGCAGTGTTGCGCGGCTAAGTTGACATCTGGCAATAGCGCCATCTAGTGTCGGGTAACAGAGCGAAGAGAGAGCTTTCCAGAAAATGACACCACTAATCTTTCAACCGACAGCGCCATCTAGTATCGAATTGAAGAACTAAGCTTTCTGGAAGCCCCAAACTCGAACTTTCTGCGCTTGGTCGGTTAGCGCGCGTATTTACTCGAATATTCTGGAATATTCTGGATGTTTTCGTGGAAGAGCCCTATATAAAGGCGCTGCAATACGCGATCGGGGAAGTATTGAATTTGGCGAGACAAGCGAAGCTTCGGAGCGGAATAAAGTGAATCAGTGTGATTAATTGTTAGTGTTTTAAGTTTTAATTGGTGTAAATAAAATTAAAGTGTTAATTTCGGTAATTCTATCGGCAATTTTTATTGTCACGAACCTCAAGCTCGTAACAATAACATACCTATTCATACAACATACATTCATAAAACATCGACGTAATATTATCCAGTATGAAATTATTACTAATACGTAAGAGCTATAATAGTATGTAAAAACAGCAAAGTTGACCTTAGACTCAATTAACATGAACAACATTCTTTCACTTTGGCAGTTGCTAATTAATAGTGACTAATTTTTTGCATTAGAGGGTGGAGTACAAAAATTATGAATAGGAGATAACACAATAAATCCTCATGCGACTTCAGTAATATAGCCGAGTCAACAAAAATGGTGAGAGCTTTTGATGACGCAGTGCAATAATTAAAAAGATATTTAAATATCGCGAATCTAACAATATAGACGTGCTATGTATTGTTGATAGATATAATAAACTAATATTTAATATGTAAATATTATGTTTTATAATAATATAAAAGAAGAATACTTGGATAGACAAAATAACACAAACTAATATACAATATAAAAGACTCCCCAAAAAACATAATTGATAATTTACTAAATCGAAAGAATAGAGTAAAAGAAACCATAATGTATATTTACTTGAATAATATTCGTAAATAATGTGGACGCACCATCGTCGCACAATTATCGCGCGTACGTACTGTATACGCAAGATGTAACATATTTTATTTCTTGAACTCTGTTTATGATCAGTCAAAGAATAATATATAATAGTATAGACAAACTGAACTGAGAGAGACCAGTGAATTGTTTTAACAATATTTGAGTTGATTTTCTTAAGCAATATAATATCTTTAAAAAGAGAATAAAAGAACAAGCAAAGTAAGATTAAATTAATTTTAAAATGTCTCTTTTCTGTCATATATGCAAAACCGGAGACGTGTCGTTCTTCCTTACGTAGATCCTCCCATTTTTTGTCCACACATATTGATACTGCCTAAGTTTCACCGCCTCCCTACATTTCTTTAGCAAAAGCTTATTGCAGTATGTAAGATGCTCATTGACATATACAGGACGTACGCTGCCATGAATGCCAAGATCTTTGGTGGTCAGTCGATTTTTTCGAATACCCGAGATTATGTTGTCCTTCAGGAGACGGGATTTTAATTTTGCAACTATGTTTTTTGGACGGCCTTGTTGTTTGACTTTCGGTGCGACACGGTTGACTTCTATGACATCATCGGCGGAAATATTTACATTAGAGTGCTTAGCAACGGAGAGAATTATTTTACTTAAATCTTCATCCTTGATTTCAGGGACTCCGACGATCTCTAAGTTCAACAGACGGTCTCTTTGATTATTTGTGTTAATTTCCAATTGTAATTGTCTGTTTTCATTAGTCAATAAATCTAATTTTGATTCGAGTGATTCAATTGCTTTTTTATTAACGGCTATTAATTCCGTTTTCTTTTGGACATTGTCGCATTGGTCGCTATTGAACTGTACAGAGTTTTCTAAAACTATGATTTGCTTCATTACCTCATTGTTCTTTAAGTTAAGAGATTGGACTGACTTTTTAATCTCGTGATATTCCCGACGAACAGTGCTTATTTCCAACTTTATTTCAGCGAAGGATGCATTTAATTTCTCAAGATCAGTTTTTAATACAAGGTCCAAATTGTTTTTAATTCCGGATACTTGAATTTCCTTTTTCCAGTCATGCAAAATACAACGTATCTCTGATGTAAAAGTTTTGAGAGCCTCTGAGAAGTCGCTATCGTGTTTACGCTTTCGAGTAGTCATACTGCTTGGCTCACCTGATTTATTGATGTCAGGGTTGGAACTGTAAAGCTTGTCTGGCGACCGCAACATTACGAAGTACCAATTCTGCAAAAACCTTTGATCTATGAAATAACACAGAACTGTACCACTTTTCTGAATTAGACCTTATGTGTACTATTTAATAAGGTTTATATTTGAATAAATGTAATGGACTACAACCAACAACACGTCCACTCTCTAAGAACGTCGAATGACTTTGTTCGGGTAAATATAAGAAATCATTACGTTTAATTGTATTAAAATAGTAATCTATACTCTGTAAATACTGGAAACAAGGACAAGTTATTTCTACCAGTTACTCGACTCAAAAGAGTCAATAATTCCTTTATGGCGCAATGTATACTAGAGATGAAACGGATATCTGGTAACTATCCGGTATTTGGCCTATCTGGTCTAAAATTACTATCCGGCCGGATACCCGAAAGCAAACGGCTATCCGGCCTGATACCTAGTATATATATAGATAGTTACCAGATATCCGTTTCTTTTCCAGATATCGGTTTCTCTGTCTAAGAAGTAAAATAATATAAGCAGAGATTTTTTTTGTTTTCTTCACCCATTCTGGGTAGGCAATGGGAACTATGCCCAAACAGCTAAGTCTTCAGTAGAATTTTTTTAGTGATATGAAATGAGAAGGAAAGGCAGTTAATAAAGGAAAAAAATATATTATTTTCCGTACTATATGTATTATTTTTCCATAATACATAGTACAATTGACTGAAATATGGTACGATACAATGTATATTATGGGTGGTACACATACATTAAAGTCAGAATTTTAATATATATATATATATATGTGTGTGTGTGTGTGTGTGTGTATGTGTGTATATGTGTATATATATAATGAAAAATTTTTACATACAAGAAGCCACCTTGTATTTTTCCATATATGTTTGTAGTTGCTCTTTGTATAGAATAAAAGTTAGAATTTTCATTCGATAATACAAAATTATATTATGTTAAAATTTTTGGTAAATAACTGCTACTGCTATTTTTCGTTTTTTATACTAACTGTTAAGAAATACTCATTCTACGGAAATACTTCATCTTGGCATAGTAAACGTTAACGTAGGTTATAATATACTCCACAGAGTACCTTTGTATAAACAGAAAATATACTCTTTGGGTCTTGGTGTTGTCAGATTCTCTGTACATTTTCATTTTTCATGTTTAAGATGGATTTATCAACGCTGCCATTTTCGTTTTGTGACACGGTTATAGCGGCAGTCAAATTATTGAATTGTTGGGAATATTGAATTCCGAATAATTCATGTTATTAGTGATAAAAATTTTGTAATACAGTGAATTTATGCTATAAGGAAATAATCAAAATCATCATTGTGTGCTCAATGCGAGTAATTGTTGACTTCCTTGGGTGGAACGGGTGAGTGTACTTGTTCATAAATTTAGCTTATTTACGATATAATAATCGTTTTTCCTTTAATTATAATGTTTTACATCTATTCTTTTAGTGTTTTATCTCGTTACTTTCTTGATGCTGACTTGCTTTGTGTATTATTGAAATATTAGATTTGAGGCCTAAAAAGGGCGTTGTGAATGTAATGAGTACGATGTTGTATCATTCGTAATATCATCGTTAGTTGAGCGATGTTGATATAAGTTTGGAAAATAACTGCACTAATTATTGTTGAGTTCATGATACTTGTATGACGCAAAATTTTATAAAACCTTGTCGTTTGTAAATGAATCTAATTGGAAAGAAAAAATTACATTAAATCTGTAGTTAATTTGAACTTAACATACCTAATTAGGATACTTAATAATTGATATATCTATTGTTTCATTTTATGTAACAAACAATATCAATAAACATTGTAAGTGGTTTATAATAATCCAGAAGCAAACACTTTTCTAAAATAAATCAAAGTTATTGATTATTAAGATATTTAAATTTAATGAATGTTTTAATTTTTAAGCTTTAAAATTATTTTCTACGGGATACATAATAGGGCAGTATAAAACCAAATCAATAGTCAGAAATATAAGTACAAACTGGATACCGTTATAGATATGTTTGGCTTACTCACAAAAAAAAGTTTATCATTATCACAATCTTTTGTACAGAGATCTTTTGGGCAGTGTATTTGTATCTGCTGAGCTATTTTACTCAATAAACACTAATGCTGACATTGGCGAATAACCGAAACCGCCATAAAAAAGAAAGAAAGAAGAAGAAGTTTATCATTTTATTATAACATTCATAGTTTGTACTTTTTAGAGGTATTGAACATGACTGTTTTACGATAAAGGAAGGGATTTCCAATGTTAAAATGCTTTAAGCGCTCCCTTCTGCTGCATATATGTTTGTCCAGTTCTAAGTAAGAGTGCAAACATTTGGTGAATGAAAAGATACTATATTTGATATGATTTTGCTTATTATCAAGGAATATAGGATTTCAATAAAAATGTAACAGATTAAGAATCTTATATAATAACATGCCTTTCATATTCTCGAATTAATATTCAAAGTTGTCAGTTTTTCCCTGGTGATTAAGTTATGTATGTTTAAAACTACTTTTATAGATATGAGTAGATCGGACCATAAACAATGGTTAAAAAAGCTGAAGGGATGTCAGTCACCTCAGTGTGACCATGGGTCCTGTAAAGCACTCAAAATGTTGGGAATCAAAAATCGGTAAAAGTAGTTTTTCAGTAATATATAGCATTTAAAAAATTAATTACACTAAGGATTTAATTGAATATTTCATATATGTGCATATTTTTTAGTATCAATTCCCAGAGTTAAAATTGTGTTTTGAAATACAATATATTGTTCAACATGGCCTTAAGGGCCGAATTTTCAAGCCTCAGATAAAAGTTATTTACCATCAAATTTAATATCACAGTTATATGAATTAATTAGTTCAACTATTTCATTTTTATATCCAGTTAGTATGACTGCCTAACAACATCCTCTTATTTTCGATAGGGTTTTTGGGCTAGGTAGTGTCCACCACGCTGTACTCATGTATGTTGGCTGATTATGTCTTGAATTTTTTTTAATTTCTCAAATATGAAGGTTACCTCACAATTTTTTCTTCACCGCTGAGATAATTTCTCTACATGTGGTACTGTGAAATTTACAGCGATTGTGTACTAGTCCTGAATCAGAACAGTATTAAGGAAATAGATAAATTATTCATACACTTATCAATTCCATCATAATATTAATGTATTATTATAACATAACATAAACACTCACGCCTGTCACCCAGAGGGGTAGGCAGAGACTACAGACTTCCATTTGGCATGATCCTGACACACCTCTCTCGCCTCCTTCACATCCATACACCTCCGCATACATGCTCGTCGGTTAAGGGTACTCCTAATTTGGCCCGTTTTCAATAAATCGCCAATTTGGTCGATAAATTTTCGCCTAGGACGTCCCTTTCCGACTCTGCCATTCACTTCTGCAACATAAATTTTCTTTGTCACTCTTTCCTCATTCATTCTTTCCACATGACCAAACCACCGAAGCATTCCTTTCTTAATCCTGGTCACAACATCATCTTGCAAACCACACTCTTCTCTTATTACACAATTTCTTACCCTGTCATTAAGATTCAGCCCTAACATACTCCTTAACGACCGCATTTCTACTGCGTTCATTCTACTCTCGTGCTTCTTCTGCCACACCCAACTTTCACTACCATATGTTAAAGTAGGGACCAACACAGCATTGTGAATTGCCATACGTGCCTTTTTCGACACATTTTGACTCTTCACAATAGAGTGCAGGGCCCCATTTACTCTATTTCCCGCATTCACTCGTCGTTCTATATCCTTATCATATCTCCCATCCCTGCTAAATACGCAGCCCAAATATACAAACTCGTCTACTTGCTCGATCAACTCCCCTTCTATTCTTATTTCACAAATCGTTTTACTTTCTTCTCTTTCAAAAACCATAACCTTCGTCTTACTTGCGTTCACTTTCATACCCCTTTCTTTTAATGATAATCTATTATATGATAATCTTATAATTTATAATTATTTTACATAATGATTAATGAATATTATATATATTTAATGTGATATTATTCCTTATAATAGTGAAACCCCTGGTTGTTGGTTGTTATGCCTGTGTATATATGTTGTGGTATGGTTGTATGATGGGCAGGGATAACTGATCTGATTTTCTGGAAGATCAATTCATGGCCATACAATCTAGTGATTTTTGAATTGATTCAAGGGAATGCGATCTTCACCCAGATCTAATCGTATGCCTATTAGATCTATGAAAAAATTGTATCAACTAAAAACTAAATACCGGGTGGCCCATAAGTCCCTTGAAATGTAAAAAAATAATTTAAAAAAAAACTAATGACAAAGAAAAAGATTTTTATTTTGTCATAATCCTTATAAAATGGGAATTATTTTTTGAAAATTACATCACCTAAAGGTAATCCGTTACGCTCGCGGCACTCCTGTAAGCGACGTTTAAAATTATCCATCAATGCGCGGCAAGTAAGCTCTGTAATGTTTGCCATTTCTCTTTGGATATTTTCTTTCAGGATGTCAATTGTCCGCGGGTTGGTTTTGTACACTTTAGTCTTAAGATAACCCCATAAGAAAAAGTCCATTGGGGTCAGATCTGGACTATGTGGTGGCCAAGGAATATCTCCTCTTCGAGAGATCACTTTATTAGGGAAAAGTTGACGGACGACCGGCATAGCGACGTTAGAGGTATGTGCAGTTGCTCCATCTTGTTGAAACCAGGTCCGCGTATTGAAGCCTGAAAAATTCTGCAACTCTGGTGTACAAAAGTCCTGGATCATAGCTACATACCGTTGTGAAGTAACAGTAAGCGCGCGGCCTCTGCCGTCCTCAAAAAAGTAAGGGCCTATAAAGCCATGCGCTGACATAGCCGCCCAAACTGTCACTTTAGGGCTATGTAAGGGCTTTTGATGTTTGCGATTTGGATTTTCGCAACTCCAGTAGTGACAATTTTGCTTATTGAGATGGCCGTTGATGTGAAAGTGAGCCTCATCAGAGAATAACACGTT